ACTCCTGAAACGCGTGTGACTGAGAAAATTATGAAATTTTGGCCAATAAATATTGTAATTTATTTTTTATTTTGATTTTAATTTAAACTAATACCCCACAGAATATAGATTCTACCAGAAGAATCGATTTTATGTATTCGAGTGACGCTTATGGAAGAACGGGGAGAGCCAACCAAATAACTCGGTGTACATTTGGCCCGCCTGGGGGATGGCACCTCCGCATCATCATCACCACACCTCCTGGCATCAAAAAATGATGATGAAAGCCCATTTGTGCACCAGAACACACCATTCTGAGCTGCGTCTCCACAAATTTGATGCTCTACGAGGTGTGTTCTGGTGCACAAATGGGCTTTCATCATCATTTTTTGATGCCAGGAGATGTGGTGACGATGATGATGCGGAGGTGCCATCCCCCAGGTGGGCCAAATGTACACCGAGTTATTTGGTTGGCTCTCCCCGTTCTTCCATAAGCGTCACTCGAATACATAAGATCGATTCTTCTGGTAGAATCTATATTCTGTGCTAATACCCCAATATCAATCTTGTGTTTTTTGTATGGATATCAACACACTAAATTTATAACTTTCGATCTTGATCTGTATCAAAATTGTAAAAATTTTTTTGGTAACTTTCTTTTTAGCTTTCGCCCTTCATCCATGCCAAAATTCTAAAAAAATAGCAACAACTTTTTTTTCTAATTGTTATTGAATCACTTACTAAATTAAGGGAATAATGGCTAACCCGTTGTAAATATTTAATTGTTAACGAGTCACCATTACAATTTTGAATAAGTATGATTATAAATACTTAATTGTTCACGAGTTACGATTAAATACAATTTAGAACAATGTGTAAGCATTTAGAAAAACTGGAATATGAAAATTGTATAACCAATCCGTTTGATTTAAAGTATGCAGTATGAATAAATTGAGTCATAAAATAAATTAAAATTTAATCAATAACGGATAATAATCATACCTGTTCAAAACTTTATTTTTCATTCAAAAGTCAGTCATCTCGATTTCTGATCTAAGATTTTCATTCACATTCAGGCATTTTCTTTCAAATTCATTTCATTTCACTTCATCCGACTTCATTTCTTACTTCGCCCATGTATTAAGCATAGGGTGAAAAATGAAATGAGTGAGAAATCCCTTCATTCACAGTCACTCATCTGAAATGATAGAATCCTTCAGTCATTTTTATTCAAATCACAGGAAATTCATTTTCATTCAATATCATTCTCATGAATGAAAGTGAACAGGTATGATAATAATTTTATAGTGTTGTTTAATTCCTGAAATTATGAAATTTTTGCATGAAACGATAGAATCCATTAGCGTAAATAGAACCACCCTAATCATCTATCTTATGTTTGGAGGTAACTGAACACCCCAAATTTGTGATTTTCGGCCTTGTTGTTAGTGGTCTCAACGGTTCTCGGTTCTCATAGAACCGAACCGGAACCGATGGCTCGGTTCGGTTCCGGTTTATACGGAGAACCGAACCGAACCGAAGCTTTTATTACCGGTTCGGTTCCGGTTCCAAGTCTTTGAGAACCGAACCGAACCGGCCGGTTCGGGTTGAACCGAACTTCATACATAAATACATTAGCGAAGTTAATCATATTTTCGAAAAAGTTTTACGAATTTCCCGAAATACACATAGAGGGATTTCACGTCAAGTTCGTAACCTACGTAACTGCGTTAGGTTTGTAAGTTTACACACACTTGACGTGAGTTGATTTTGTAAACGTTTTCGTAAACATTTTTTAGTGAAAAAAATATCGCATATAAAACGTCATCAAAATGTTGCTAGCCAACTTTATCCTACCTTACACCAAATGACATGTAATTCTTTTTGAATTTTTTTGCCTAAAATATCAGTTTTTCAGGAATTACACAGCCATTCGTAAAAGTTCGTAAGTCAATTTTCCTTAGAAATGTGTGTAAAAGTTCGTAAAAGTTTGTAAGCTTACAAACCTTACGCAGTTACGAAGGTTACAAACTGTGACGTGAGTTCCCTCATAGTTTCCAAAATGAAATTTTGACGTGGCCGCACCTCCAAAGTTCCCAAAATGAAACTTTGACATGGCCACACCCCCAAAGTTCCCGAAATGAAACTTTGACTTGGTCACACCCCCAATGTTTCCAAAACCAAATTTTGACTTGATGACACGCCCAAAGTTCCCAAAATGAAACTTTTATTTGGTCACACCCCCAATGTTTCCAAAACGAAATTTTGACCTGGTTACATCCCCAATGTTTCCAAAACCAAATTTTGACTTGATGACACCTCCAAAGTTTCCAAAACGAAATTTTTACCCCCAAAAGTTTCTAAAATGAAATCTTTACTTGGTCACACCCCAAAGTTTCCAAAATGAAATTTTGACTTGGTTACACCCCCAATGTTTCCAAAATGAAATTTTTACTTGGTCACACCCCAAATGTTTCCAAAATGAAATTTTTACTTGGTTGCACCCCAAACGTTTGGGGTGCAACCAAGTTTGCAAACTTGGAATTGTTTTCTAACTTCAATAATACATACATAAGTGGTTTTGCTGTTGACATGTATTCAATTAGCATTGTTTGTTGTTTATTGCATATTAATAACACTACCGGTTTGACCCGAACCGCCGGTTCGGTCACGGTTTGGTCCGGTTCCGGTTCGGTTCCAACTAAAAAAAGTTCGGTTCTGTTTCGGTTCTTCAATTCTGGTTCTCGGTTCTAAACCGGTTCTTCCAAGAACCGAACCGAACCGCACCGTTGAGACCACTACTTGTTGTTTATCAAAATTGTGTAAACACTGCAATATTTTTAGTATTAAAATTGTTAACTCGTTGTAAATATGTAATTGATAACGAGCTACCATTACAATTTTGAACAATATGTAAGCATTAAAAAAAAATGAATCTCAAAATTCTGAGCAATCCGTACGTTTAAAATTTTAAGAAAAAATTAAGCAATAAAAGATGACAATCAGATTTAATCGTCCGTCCAAGGGAGAATTTTATAGATTTCGATCCCTGAAATGTGCAGGTGAGTGGGAGGAGTGGCGAAATTTCGAAAGCTTGAAATTTTGCCAAAGAATTATGTAATCTATTCAACCAACAGTGTATGAGGCAGTCATCTGACACATTCTTAGATTCAAATTAACACTCACAATTTTTATCTTTCGGCCTTGATATGTATCAAATTTGTAAAAACAAGCAATATTTTTTTTACTTAATTATTGAGTAGCTATTAAATTATTTTTTTTTCACGGTTTGATATTGACTAATCCTGACTTAACTTTTGAACAATTAATTTAATTAAAGCTAGCATAATTTCATGTATATTTGGATTTTTAGGGCGTGAAGTTTTTTAAAAATTAACTTGTTAATTGACGGTATATGATAATTTTATAGATTTCAATTCCTGAAATATGGCTGGGAAAATTTTGAAATTTTGGCACGAAATATTTCACTTAGGAGGAATACCTCACTAGTTGCCACCCACAGATCTCGATGCCCTTTGGATATGTTGGAGCACCCCATGAGTGAACAACAACCCCCAAGTGGTTTGATGCCATGGCCACATTTGCGCCCGCCACACCCACTTAAAGGCGTCAAAAACACGAAAATCGCCATCTTCAAACGCTCGCCAGAAATTCAAATTTGGCCACAATTTCAAAATTTTTCACCAGTACACTCCCAGATAGTTGTTTTATAATATCCGACACCAAAATATATTTTTTAAATTTTTTGAATATTTTAGAAAATTTCCTGACCAGGGGTACGTCTTTGAAAAAATTGAAATTTCAAAAAAGTTGAGTTTGATATTGGATATGATAACACAACTATCTGGGAGTATAGTGGTGCAATATTTTCAAAATCCTATAGAAATTGGATTTTTGGCGAGGGTTTTATTGAGTGAAAACAGGGCTTTTTTCGTATTTTTGACACCTTTAAGGGTCAGATCAAAGCATTCTTAGCAACAAAAAACATACAATATTTCAATGCAATTTCTGCATAAAATCTTGCCACACGGGGCGTTTCAACCTGCATTCATGCAACACATTTTAAAATTTGTATATATTTTATTAGACACATCATGAGTGTAGGTACCACGAGTAATCAGTGACTTTTCGAAATTACTCGTGACACACTCACTAACCAAAAAAATGTCAAAACTATTCGAATTTAAATGTATTTTTCAGTTTAAAAATGCATATGAAGGAAAAACCTGCATATTTCAATCATTCCAGTGATTACTCGCGATAGTCATAACCCTCAAGTACCAAACAAACATATCTGAAAGTAGTAATTAGTCATACTGAGGGCGCATTGAGCAGCCCCGACTGGCTAAACCACTTGGTTGTTATACAGGTAAAATACTTGGAAAATTCGATGGTCTCATATTAAATTTGGTCAAAAATCTTCCTTGGTTACTGTCACCCCCTAAAGCCCAAATCCGGGTCAATGGCCACATCTCATCCAGCAGGATGTCAATCAATCGGCCTTGATCACACGATCATTTTGGTATATTATAGAATTTTGTGAGACAAGAATTGGCTGCGAAATTCCTAAAAAAACTAATGTTTTGGAGATATTTCATTAAATATATTCCCTAAAGTAATTTTATAGACCAACATTAATCTCAAATTAATTTGTTGCTATCCAAAACTCATACTTAATTTGTTTTTTGCAAATAATTGGTTTGATCCGACCCTTAAGTGGGTGTGGCGGGCGCAAATGTGGCCATGGCATCAAACCACTTGGGGGTTGTTGTTCACTCATGGGGTGCTCCAACACATAGATGAGAGATTGTGTTGCAGCAGCACTCTATATAGATAGCGCATTTCAGAAGGGAACGGTCAGGGGAGGGGCGGAGCTAAGCAGCAGGTGGCACGTCCTACTCCCACTTTCACCCAAATCTGCGGCAATCTCAAATCACACTCACCTGCTTAAAAATGTTTACTTTTTTCATTTCACACGAAAAATGTTAATTAAAATTAAGAAAACAAATATTTAAAAGATAAACTGCTTGATTCTAAACGTATTACTTATTACTATTAAAATTCCATAACGTCGTAACATAAATATTCAATGTCTGGATCTTGGCAAACGCATTTTTAGTTAAACAAAACTTCAAACCTTCCCAAGGGTGAGTAATTTTTAAATAAGTCGTCCCAAGAGTCAAAATAATGATTAAATGTTCTTTTTTGCAGTTTATCAATATACTGCCTATTACGTTTACGACACACGGGTCGTGTACCTATCGTGGAGTTTGTGGCTAGGCTGGTTTGTAGATTATTTATTACATACATATAATCAAAAATTGCTCCGCAAAATACCACACCATTTACATGGATTTAATTCTGGTGTAATTTGTATTATTTAGAGAATTGTGACACGCTCTGGGTCGATAAATCCTGTAGACTGCGGCTCTCTATCCCTCTTCCCTGCTCCAACATATCCAAAGGGCATCGAGATCTGTGGGTGGCAACTAGTGAGGTTCCCCTCCTTAGCTACAATCAGCTCAACTAAAACCCCTTACCGTGCAACACATCTAACACACTTTTATTAGGAAATAAACACCTCAAATTTTTAATTTTCGGCCTTGATATTTATCAAAATTGTGTAAAAACGACAATTTTTTTATATCCTATTTTTCACGGTTTGGGAGGACATTTTTTTTAAACACAATTCATTCATAGCTTACGGATCTTATTGATCCTTCTTCTAGTCAATTTATTGCATAAAAATTGTTTTTCCTAATTAATAAACTACATAAATTATGTGGACAATGGTTAATTCGTTGTACGTAATTACTTCATTGATAAATTACAGTTTGGTAAGTAGTTTAGGAAGCGGCGAAAAGAATTGAAATATGAAAATTGTGAGTAATCCGTAGATTTAAAATTTTAAGAAAAAATAGCAAATAAATAAATTAACAGATTTTTCATATTAATCATATTAAATATGATTTTAATTTATTTTATTTATGAAAAATTTGGGGTGTTCATTCACGTCTAAAAATAAGATAGACCAAGACGGTGATATATTCAAATTCCAGTTTTTAAGGCTTCCATTATCCTAAATTCCACAACGAATAATAAATAATTTTATAGATTTCAATTGTGTAGATGAGTGGGTGGGAAAATTATCTAGGAAATTTTGGCAAACGAATATGAAATCAAATCAGTAAAAAACAGCAATACATTTTTCCTAAATATTGAATAACTGTTGAATTACTTTGTTTAATCTATGATTTGGTAAGGACCATTTTTCTTTTGCAAGCAAAAAGAAATTCTGAGGATGAACTATAACTTTCAAAAGTGAAAATGAAGTGAAAGCTATCGTGAAATCAAAATAAAATGAAAATGAAATGACAAGTATAAATACGGGGTAAGGGGTAACCCATGATTTGGTAATGACTAATCATATACAATTAATTGATCAGGGATATTAATTTGCTTGATTTCAAATTCCCGAAATATTCGTTCCTGGGAAAATTATGAAATTTTGTGCCATTTAAACCATACATACACAGAATGTTCTTCTTCGATCTACTACATTTTTAAAAGTATGAAACCACAAGTTTTTAAATGTAGACTTTGTTATTTATCAACATGGTGTAAAACAAATTTGAAAAAAGATCAGAATTAATCGAGAATGTGGCAATTTTATATATAAAATGTCTATGGAACTATGGACATCCATTCCTAAAATGTGAGAACCCTCCAATACAATTTTTAAAACATATTGCAGATTATGCAATTTCTTTAATATGTTATAAACGACAATAAATCCGGTTCAATCGTCAAAAAGGCATTAAACAGGCAAAAAGGCATCAAAAAGGCAAATAGGCACGCAAAAAGGCAAAAAGGCAAATAGGCACGCAAAAAGGCAAAAAGGCATGCAGAAAAAGCAAAAAGGCTGCCTTTTTGCACACACTGTGTGTAAGTGGGCGGGAGAAGTGACTAGGAAAATTCTGAAATTTTATAAATAAATGATCAAATGCACCCCGATTGTTCATCTGTCACATTTTTACAAGTAAATGAACACCCAAACTTAAAATTTTCGGTCTTGTTATTTATCAAAATGGTGTAAACACAGCATAAACTTGTTTCGAATTAATTCCTTAATTACACGAACAATCGTTAACTCGTTGTTAGTATTTAATTGTTCACGAGTCACGATTACAATTTAGAATAATATGTAAACATTAAAAAACTTGAATATGAAAATTGTGAGCAATCCGTAGATTTAAAGCTGTAAGAAAAAAAACGATGACTAAAAAGACGTTATAGATTTCCATTCCTGAAACGTGCAAGTGGCTGAGAAAATTATCAATTTTTTGTGAAATTGGGAAAATTAAGAAATTTTGGCCAGAAATTATGAAATCCGTTAATTAATAAACCTGATACCATTCTTAACACTTTTCATCTCTTGCTTGTTTATAGGCAAGTGAACACCCCAAATTTTTAATTTTCGGCGTTGCTATTTCTCAACACGGTAAAAGTAACAATAATTTTATCGACTAATTCAGAGCTCCACGCCGTTGAACAATCGGCGGCGGCGGCGTGAGTAGTGAAAACCGTCGGCGGCGGCGGCGGCTTGGGAGGTCGGCGGCGGCGCGCCGATATTTCTGCCTCAGTTTACCAGTCAGTGATCATAACTGACCTCATTATTTAGCTTTCTAATACATAGTAATGTATTTCGCTTGCTAATTTTAATTGGTTCAGCGAAAAAATAAACCGACCCATTTTTTAATCCGTGTTAATTCGAGTTTTCTGCATTACACAATTTCAAAAATATTTCTCTACTAAACCCATCATCTATATTATAAGCTGGGAATGTTTGTCTGCAACGGAAGTGAAAGTAATTTTCCATGACGGAAGCGGAAGTGGAGAGAGTTTCACTTCCCTTGCCAATAGAGTTTTCCGCTAATAATATAGATGCAATCGGCGGAATTATGAACAATCCTACTTAATTTTCATGCAAATAAAATACGCCCGTCGCGGCGTCGCCCGGTACGAGACGGGCTTATATTCTAGTCCTTAATAGCCATGTAACTCGATTCTTGACGGAAATTCGAAAATTTAAAAGTTTGCTTGATTTTTCATAAAATGGAATGCTTGAAATCTTTCTAATGGTAAGTTTTTAAAAACCACAGGACTAAGCAAAATGTAAGATTCTCAAAAAACAGCAATTTCGAAAAGTCAGGCCATTTATGTACTCAATTTGTATTGCCCAAAATATCATATTTTAAATACTATACGTTATCAATTCTTTTAGTGGCGTCAAAATTTTAACTGATCTCTAATTAAAAATGCGTATCGGGAAAAAACTATTCATTTTCTCAATGTCAATCACAATCACAAACGAAACCGTTAAAACCCTAATTTTGACTTTTTTTCTAATTTTAACTGGTTTTAATTGTACGAAATATCTTTTTTCTCGGCGGCGCGCCGATGAATTTCCTCGGCGGCGCGCCGATGAATTTCCTCGGCGGCGGCGGGGTGTCAAATCGGGTCGGCGTCGGCGGCGCGCCGGCGAAAAATCGGCGGCGTGGAGCTCTGGACTGCTTAAGTTGCCAAATTACTCGGGTAATTGTTAACTCGTTGTAAATATTTAATTGAATCATCACAATTTAGAAAAATATAAGTATTACAAATCTACAAAAATTGGGATATGAAAGTTGTGAGTAATCCGAAGACTTATAATAATAAGAAAAAAAATGAGCGGTAGAATTAATTAAAATCATATTAATTTAATCAACAACACTTAATAGTTTTATAGATTTGATTTATTTAATTCCCGAAATGTGTAAGTGGGTGGGAGGAATTGCTGGGAAATTTTGTGCATAAAAAAACTGGTTTAAAAATATTATTTTTTTTCAATTTTTTTATAAACAAATTATGACAAGCTGTTTTACTAAACAACGAAATGCAAAATATTTACTAGTCTAGCTACAAGTGATCTTTGTATTTTTACGTAAGTGAACATCTCAAATTTTTAACTTTCGTCGTTCATATTTAGCAAAATGGTGTAAAAACACATTTATCTTAATTATTAAATAACTTATTCAATTTGTTGAACAATGGTTAACTCGCTTTAAATATTTAATTGGTAACGAGTCACTATTGAAATTTAGAACAATATGTAAGAAAATTAGAATAAGAAAAGGTGAATAAACCGTACATTTAAAATGGAAAAATTTGAGTAATAAAATAAATTAAAATCATATTTAACCCACAATGGATAATAATTTTTTAGATTTCAATTCCTGAAATCTGTTGGGAGGGAAAATTACGAAATTTTTCCAAAAACGATAACTTATTTACGATCCGTTCAAAAACCCGAAAGATCTGTCATATTTTAATACCTTAGTGAACACCCAAAATTTTTAACTTGGTCTTTCATATTTAACAAAATGGTGTAAAGATGGCAATAATTTTGTTGAGAATAACTAAATTACGCGAATAATCGTTAACTCGTTGTAAATATTTGATTGAGGACGAGTCATAATTACAATTTAGAACAATATGTAAGCGTCGAAATGATTTGGAATATGAAAATTGTGAGCAATCCGTAGATTTCAAATTGTAGATAAAATTGAGAAATGAAAAAAAATCAGATTTAATCGAGAACGACAAATAATTCAATGGACCTTTCCCTTATTGATCTGTTGAATTTTTTAAAAATATATCGACCCTAAAAATTTTGAATTTTCGGCTTTGTTATTTATCAAAAAATCAGATTTAATCGACCACGGAGAAAATTCTATACATTTCGATTTCTGAACTGTGTAGGTGAGTGGGTAGAAAAAATTTGAAACTTTGACATGAAACTTATTTACAATCTGAAAACCCCCCAACAAGAATCTACAGTATTTTTATTATGCAGTAAATAAACACCTCAAATTTTAAACTTTAGGCCATAATATGTATCAAAATATAATAAAAACGTTGTTCCTAAATATTAAATAACTTACTAAATTAGGCGGATAATAGTTAACTCGTTGTACGCAATTATATAATTGATAACGAGTTACCACTACAATTTAGCAAACAATTGAGTATCGCTAGATAAAATGGAATACGAACATTATAATCAATCGGCATATTTCAAATTGTATGAAAAAAATGAGCAATTCAGGCAAATGTTATTTTGGAGATTCAATAATATAAATGTGTTAAGAGATGAAAATGTCTTCATCAACACAGGTCATATTTTGAAGTTCAAAAATTTGAACTTTTCATCCCAGAAAAAACTATTTTTTTGTCAATAATTTGAAAATATATTTTGTTTATTTCTTCACGGTATTTCGTATTTTTTAATTGTAATGAAATTAATTACTTTGATGCCGTTAATGTTATTTTGTAGAATCAATAATATAAATATGTTAAAAGATTATAATTCCTTCGTAAACAAGGGTCATATTTTGCAGTAAATTTCTTCTCGGAAGTTTATTTTATTTTATTTTTCAATTATTTGAAAATATATTTTGTTTATTTCTTCACGTTATTTCGTATTTTTTAATTGTAATGAAGTTAATTACTTTGATGCCGTTAATGTTATTTTGGAGATTCAATAATATAAATATGTTAAAAGATTATAATTCCTTCGTAAACAAGGGTCATATTTTGAAGTAAATTTCTTCTCGGAAATTTATTTTATTTTATATTTCAATAATTTGAAAATACATTTTGTTTATTTCTTCGTTATTGCATATTATTTAATTGCAATGAATTTATTTAATCAACTTCGATTACGTTAACGTTATTTTATGGATTCAATAATACGAAATATGTGAAAAGATGACAAGCTCTTCATCAAAAAGTGGCACATTTTGAAGTAAATTTGTTCTCGCTCAGAAATTTATATTATTTTATTTTTCAATAATTTTAAGATATCTTTTGTTTCTTTCTTCACCTTATTGAATGTTTTTAAATTGTAATGAATTTATCTAATCAACTTCGACGCCGTTAATGTTATTTTGGAGATTCAATTTTTTCCAGGTACTAAATTCCAATCCCCCGGCACTTGAACCAGACTGATAGGAAGGAAATCGGGAAAAATTGAGTAGCAAACGGAAAAAAAGTCGGGTTAAACAAAAAAAGATCGAATTAAACGAAAAATATGGGAAAAAATCTGGCAATACAAGAAACAACTCAGATTCGCCGGTTACACCAACGTTTTTAGCACGTGGCGCAAATGGATGTACATAAATGACCTCAGATTCATGTGTGGATCACCCTAAAACGATATGAAATCATAATAATGAAGAAAACACCCTGATTTCATTTCAGTTCCCCCCGTAAAATGGAATATTTGAAATATGTTTCATGTTTTAGGAGAGGAAAACTAATTAAAATCTTAACCATCGATGTTATACAAAAAAAAAATCGAAAAAAATGAGCAATCAAGAAAACAAAACCGGGGAAAATTGTGCAGCAAATGAAAAGAAAAAAGAAAAACCCGCATTAAACGAAAAAAATTTTTAAAAATTTACCAGTGGACGAAAAACATCAGATTCAACAGTTGTACCCACTTTTTACCAATTGAGGTACACAAATCACCTCATATTTACTTGCATGTAAATAGTTAATTGTGGATTTTGCGAGGGCGGCCGTAGGCCGCGTGAAGCAAAATCAAGATTATATGATTATTCCGGAAACGGAATATATCACTGTAATAACTGTTGTAGTGATTGATATCACGTAGTGTGTGCAGTCCCATATTTTCAAAGTGCATGCGCACAATGAAAAAGTAAGAAGAAGGAGCCCTACTTGCCACGTCGCGGGTCCGGTAATCTTCACTATTTCAAAGTCACCGAATTTCATATTTTAATTAGTGGGGGAGGGATGGAGGGCAGTGATATATTCCGTTTCCGGAAGAATCATATAATCTTGATTTTGCTTCACGCGGCCTACGGCCGCCCTCGCAAAATCCACAATTATATTTCTTCTTCCTCCAACTACATATATCACTGTAATAACTGTTGTAGTTGTTTAAAGTAAATATGAAATTCGAAAAAATAAAAAACCGAACAAATATGTAACTTGTTTAAACAGTTTTTACTACCAAATAATTTACTGTGCATCCTTGACCTGTTACATATGTAAATACAAACTTAAATATTATATCATTATTTTAATTTAATTACTTAGCAAAGAATTTGCAAAAGTGGTTCTATCATCTATTTTCTTATTGTAATGTTTAGCAAATACATTTGAACGATTGCTCCAGCCAACTCTTTGAAAAATGGCATCAACATTTACCCCACGACTTGATGCCTTTGAGGTCGCAGCGTGCCTAAAACTGTGACCTGTATAAATACTTGAATCAACTCCAGCCATATCTAAAGTTTTACATAACCATTTGCTAATGGTCTGAGATGTGACCGGTTTGTATGGAGAAACAAAAGATATGAATAAATTAGCACTTTCTCCTCTCAATATTTTAGTTTTTTCTACATACATTTTCAAATTGAAAATCGGACACAAACTTTTGTTCTCGAAAGAAGGGATGATTAAAATTGGATTCGGATTTTTTATCGTAGTTGTTTTTAGAATTGAAGGAATCTTGATTTGAATTGGATCTCCCCATAAAATGTCGTGTATCTGTATTTGTGAAAACACTTGTGCTCTTTGAGCCGTAACTAACGCTAATAATGCTAATACCTTAAGAGTCAACTCTCGTAATGGAATTGTTTCACTATCTAATGATTTCAACACATCGAGCATTTTACTGGAATCCCATGTTAATGAATATTTAGGTGTGGGGGGTCTTAACTTACTAATACCCTTCATAAACTGAGTAACTAACCTATGTTCGCCTATTTTACAATTATCAATATCGGGAAAAACTGCTGACAAAGCTGATCTAGCAGTGTTTATAGAAGCATAACTTAAACCTGACTCGTACATGTTAGCTAAGAACGACAAATATTTTGACAATTCATTATCATATACATTCCATTTCATAACATTACAAAACGATATCCACTTTTTAAGAGAAGATTCATACTGTTTCCAAGTACTGGCACTACATGATGACTTTAGAATTGAAATGACGTTATCTGGCAGACTCAATGTTTTAAATGATTGGCTGACAATAGTGCTGCCATTAATGTTGTCTTGAAACTCAGTGGATGACTCCTATTAGAATATGGACAAAAAAGAAGATCGTTAGCAGGTTTCATAATAATTATTTTTGAAATCTTTAAGTTATGAAATAATGGAAACCACGGTTGGTTTGGCCAATTTGGGGCAACTACAATACCCTGGCAATGCTCTTCCCTGATTTTCTTTAAAACTCGAGTGAGTAATTTAAAGGGAGGAAATGCAAAAAAGAATTCTCCCCATGGTTTAGTAAATGCGTCCACCCATTCAGCGTCCGGACAAGGGAACCAAGAAACGAAGCGAGCACATTGATTTGTTTTATTGGAGGCAAAGAGATCAATTACGGGGCTACCTAATTTGTTACAAATATTATAAAAATATTTGTCCCCTAATTTAAAATCATAACTATCGATATCCAAACGTGAAAGTGAATCAGTAACAATATTATCCTTTGTGCTAATGTAAGAAGCAAATATTATAATTCTTCTCTTTTCACACCACTGCCATATAATTTTTGCAAGCTCCTGACATTGATAGGATCTGCAGCCCCCATATTTATTTATGTACGATATTGCAGTGGTGCTGTCTGACCTAATAAGAACTGATTTATCTGTAAAATCTACCAACGCCAGCAATGCATTATAAATTGCAAGTAACTCTAGTTCGTTAATATGCCTTTTAGCCTCATTGAAATTCCAATGACCCCTAGTTGATCTTCTTTGTGTGGTTGCACCCCAGCCAGTTAGAGATGCATCTGTTGTTAAGGTTAAAAAATATGCTTCCTGCCTGATTTTCTTTCTAGAATGAGAAATATTCTTTATCCACCAATTTAAATCTGCGACTCCTTCATCAGAAATGGTGACCTTGTGATTATAATTCTGATTTGAGATAAAAAGGCCATCAATTTTCTCCATTTCTAACTTTCTAGTGTATACTTGGCCATATTCTACTCCCGGACACGATGATATTAATGTACCAATCAACTCAGCTAAATTTTGAAGAGGAACAGAACTCATATTTATGACACCCTGACATTTTTCTAATACTCGTGTTTTCTTTTTGTCCGGTAAAGATATTTCCATTGATTCTGAATCTATTAAGAAACCTAAGAATTTTACTCTCTGGCAAGGAATCAATCTTGATTTTTCATCATTAATTGACAAACCCAAGAATTTAAGTAATGAAATTGTTATCTGAGTAGCCCTTTGACATTCTGCATATGTTTCTCCTACTGTTAGCAAATCATCGAGATATGATACGTTAACTATAAGTCTGGATCGCAAATAAGCCAGAACAGGTTTTAAAACCTTTGTGTATAGCCATGGTGCTAATGACAATCCAAATGGAAGACATAAGTATTCATATAGAATACTTTTCCACCGAAATTTCAAAAATTTCCTAGAACTCTTATGCATTGGAATCATGTAATAAGCATCTTTCTGGTCAACAACGGTAAAATAACAGTTTGGTGTCACTAATGCGAGTGCAGTTCTTATATCTTCCATTTTGAAATGATCAACCAGAATAAAATTATTTAAAAGTTTTAAATTAAGAACAAACCTACGAGAACCGTCTGGTTTAGGAACTGTGAAAATGCTAGATAAAAATTGACCTTCCTCTTCTTTAGAGATTTGAATAACTCCACTGCTAACCATCTCATTAATACATGAATCAATATAACCTGATTCAACTTCATTCATTTTAGGGATATTAGGTTCTTTGGCCTGACTAGGTGTGTGATTAAATATTAATTTATAGCCCGAAATAGCCTTAAGTACAAAATCATCAGAAGTTATAGTTTTCCAGTTTTCTACATAAAATCTTAATCTACCTGCCTTCTCATTTGTAATATTTTGATTTATGGTTGTCGAAATTGTCGTTGTGGATAATTTCCTCGGTTGAATCCTCGCTGGTTGAATTGTCCCCGAGTTTGACCTCGAAACTGCCCTTGCGTCCCTCGATGGGTCTGGAATCGTGGGAACGGGCGTTGGAAGTTTAAATTTCCGGTATTTCTTGAGAAATTGTATGGACGGAACCGAGTAGTCCTTGTCATTGACGATCGAATAACAGTTGAAGCTGCTTTTGACGTCTTTAAAGTTTCGCTCAAATTGTCACCAAAAAGATATTCCGATACTGGCAACTGTTTATCAATTATTTCTCATTGCAGAATATTATTACGATGTAACATATTGAGTAAATAAATAATAATAATCACCTGTTTGTTGCAAATTGCACTGTACTCTGGATTAATTAATTTTTTCACTTCCTGACGGCGTTTCATATTGCTCGCCTGCAGCTGATCGCCCAAAATATTTCCTCCATCAATAGCTAATTTCAAAATCCTTTTCTTCACCTCTTGAGGGATCTCATTTGAGTGAGTGGCAACCTCATTTGCAATTTCGGCCATTGTAATTAGACCAAAGCTAATTGATTGTTGAACTTGTTGAGTTTGGATATCTGCCAGCCTTGCCCCGTAGGTAAATGGGCCCAGATTTCAGAATTCATTTTCGGAACAGCAAAACCCTTGCAGTTGGACGGAATTTTTATCTGATCTTTGAGTTTTGAGGCAGTTTCCTTTGTCAAAGGACGACTAACTGTTTTTGAAAACCCCTCAGAGATTTGTGGAAGCAGATCGGGACCATATTCAATGCTGCCCTCAATATCTTTCATAATCTCTACCAGCTCGTTATCGTCCTGACCATCTAATTAATGAATTCATTCTTAGATTTTAAACTTAGAGATAAAATTATATTTTATTTTTCGTGCAATATTATTACCATGTGGTTTATCTTGAAACATATTTGCAAAATTCTTAGATTCCTTCTCCTGAGAATTGTCCTCCTCGTCTGAGAGACCAAGTGACCAACCCTTGTCCTTTGGAGTCTGTCCTTGAGGAATATCATTCTTCCCTACTGCTTCTTTCAAAGAATCCAGCTCTTTTTGCTGAGTCGCAATAAATATGGACATTGATTCTACTTGACCTTTTAACTCGTTATAATCCGACATGGCTGTTAAAACCAAAAAACATCGGAAATTAAAATTAATGTGGGCCAGCGCGGGACACCACGTCTCCGTCACCTTTTCAAGGTGGCTCGGAGTTATTTTGTTTAATTCTTCACAATTAATTATATTTTCTAAATAAAAATACCCTCAATTCATGGGAATTACTCTAGACTTACCTGGTGACCGAAGGGGACCTCTTATGTTGAAAAAGAAACTGGAAATCTTCTTTAAAAAATTACAATTTTTCACGGGCTAAGATGGCGACAGCACAACACTACCATGAAATCAACAGTGAAGATTACCGGACCCGCGACGTGGCAAGTAGGGCTCCTTCTTCTTACTTTTTCATTGTGCGCATGCACTTTGAAAATATGGGACTGCACACACTACGTGATATCAATCACTACAACAGTTATTACAGTGATATATGTAGTTGGAGGAAGAAGAAATATAACTATAGTTAAAAAGTAGTTGAAAAGTAGTTTAAAATTTAAACTACTTTCAACTATATTTAACTATAGTTAAAATGTAGTTGAAAGTAGTTTAAATTTTAAACTACTTTTCAACTATATTTAACTATAGTTAAAATGTAGTTGAAAGTAGTTTAAATTTTAAACTACTTTTCAACTACTTTTTAACTAGTTTTAAAGTGCGAAAGTAGTTGAAAAGTAGTTAAAAAGTAGTTGAAAAGTAGTTAAAAAGTAGTCGAAAAGTAGTTAAAAAGAACTCGAAAAGTAGTTAGGTTTTGGAATGTAGTTAACAATGTAGTTAGAATTTAACTACATGAAACCAAAGTAGTTGTAGTTTAGTTGAAGATCAACTACTTTTACAAGTAATTCACAAACGATCACATACAATCTATCGTATTTTTAAAAGTAAACGAATACCCCAAGTTTTTAGCTTTCGGCCTTAATATTTATTAAACTGGTGTAAAAACATCAATTTTTTTCCTAGTTCTTAAATAATAAACTACATAAATTACGCGGACAATGGTTAATTCGTTGTACGTAATTACTTCATTGATAACTAGGTCGTTACCACATTACAGTTTAGAAATTCAACAATTTAGGAAGCGGCGAAAAGAATTGAAATATGAAAATTGTGAGCAATCCGTAGATTTAAAATATTGTAAGAAAAAATTGCTGGGAAAATTATGAAATTTTGAAAATAAACAATAGCTTACTGTTCATCTACAAAAAGCACTAATCTGTATTTTTGGAATTAAGTGAACACCCCAAAGTTTTGACTTTCGGGTTTGTTATTTATCAAAATGGTGTAAAAAAGACAAAATATGTTCCTAAATATTGAATAACTTACTAAATTACGTGAAAAATTGTTAACTCGTGAGTCAACATTTAGTACTTAGGACAATGTAAACATTACAAAAAACTGGAATATGGAAACTGAGCAATCCGTTGATTTAAAATTTTAAGAAAAAATTGAATAATAAAATAAGCAAAAGCATATTTAACCCACAAAGGATAATAATTTTATAAATTTAATTTAACTCCTGAAATGTGTAGGAGGAGTGGCTGGGAAAATTCTGAAATTTTGGCGACCAATTTTAACCGTAAATCACCCCAACCACCAGCGACCTCTTATGGCGAGTAGAATCAACAACTCCAGCTCCTCTCTTCCTATCCTAACGCATGTTAAATGATTCTACTGTGATTTTTACCACAAAATACAATTCTTGACCAATTTTGAAGATATTTTGATGTTCAATATCTCAAATTGTTCGCAAAAGGATGCACTGCAATTGGCTTAGACGATTTTTTGGAATCTTGTTTCCATCAAGTTCCACCACAATTTTAAACTTTGCATTGGTGTAGAAATTATTAGAAACAAAAATCCAACAAATCGTCTAACAAAATTGTAGTGCATCCTCTTGTGAACAATTTAAGATGTTGAACATCGAAATATCTTCAAAATTGGTCAAGAATTGTATTTTTTGCAAAAATCACGGCAGAGTTATATAGCATGTGTTAGGAGAGGCAGAGAAAAGCTCGCGTTGTTGACTCAACTCGTGTTAGATTTCAATCGAATTTGCAGTTGTGCAGCTGTGCGCCATCTGCGGACACTGCAGCCATCGAAAGTTAAAAGTCTTTGTCACTGGCAGCGACTGGGGCAATTATGGTTTTGGCCGGCCTCCGTACCATGCACTATTAACTTATTTACTAACTTATTAACTTAGGATTAGTTACTTAACTTATTAACTTATTAACCAATATCTTCCCACCTGTGGTATTTTCACACTTAAATGAAAATCAGAAATTTTAAACTTGCGGCCTTAATATTGATCAAAATGGAGTATAAACGCAATATGTTTTTCATAATAATTAAATACCTTACTAAATTAACGTGAACAATTGTTGCACATAAATACTCAATTGGTAACGAGCTACCATTACAATTTAGAACAATATGTAAGCCTTGAGACGAATTGGAATATGAAAAAAGTCAGCAATCCGTAGATTCAAAATTGTAGTAAAAAATAGGAAAAAAAGTCATCTTTACCCGATAACGAAACTTTAATTAATTCCAGAAATATGCAAATGGGTGAGAGGAGTGGTTGGGAAAATTATGAAAAATTAGTAAGAAATGATACTTATTTCCGATCGGCTCAAAAAACGCAAATCAATCTGACGTGTTCTTATTAGCAAATGAATACTACATATTTTTAATTTTCGGCCTTGTTATCGAAATAGTGTAAAACCGGCAATATTTTTTTCGAATAAATTACTAAATTACGGGAACAAGCGTTCTAAATATTTAATTAATAACGAGTCACCCATGCAATTTATAACAATGTGTAAGCATGTGAAAAAAAGCTGGCATTTGAAAATTGTGAGGAATCCTTAGATTTAAAATTATTAGAAAAAATTGAACAATGAAATAAATTAAAATCATATTACGGATAATAATTTTATAGTCTATTTAATTCCTGAAATGTGTAAGTGGGTGGAACGAGTTGATGGAAAAGTTAAGAAGTTTTGGCAATTTTTGAAATCTAATCAACCCAATCATGCATGTTCACATTCATTAACTTAATGATGAATGAATAAATTATTCATTCAATATTCAAAATTTTGAATGAATATTGAATGAATATTTTATTCTGATTTTTGAATAAATGAATATTGAGTGAATATCTATTCAATTCATGTGAATGAATAATGAATGAATATTTTTTCATCATTCATTTTTAAATCAATGCTTAATACATAGGGAAAGTTAAGAAATTCATCTAATACTGTGAATTTTGAATAACATGAATAATGAAGGAATGGTGAATAATGAATAAATGTTGAATAATTAATGAATATTTTTTTTACAAATTATGAATGTTGAATAAGGAATAAATATTTTTTTCAAGGCTTTGAATGAATAAATATTTTTTGAACATGTATGAACCCAATATGCAACTCACCATACATCTAACGTATTTTATCATTAAGTGAACACCCCTATTTTTTAACTTTCGGCCTTATTATTTATCAAAATGGTGTAACAACAGCAATATTTTTAGTACTAAAATTGTTAACTCGTTGTAAATATTATGTAATTGATAACGAGCCAGCATTACAATTTTGAACAATCTGTAAGAATTAAAAAAATTGAATCTGAAAATTCTTAGCAATCCGTAGGTTTAAAAATTTAAGAAAAAATTAAGTAATAAAAGATGACAATCAGATTTAATCGTCCGTCCAAAGAACAATTTTCTAGATTTCGATTCCTGAAATGTGTCGGTGGATGGGAAAATTATCAAAATTTTGAATTTTTGACGAAAAATTATGAAATCCGTTCGACCACGGACCAGCAGACCAGCTATCTTACATATTCTTAGATTCAAATTAACACTCATAATTTTTAACTTTCGGCCTTGATATGGATAAAATTTGTAAAAACAGCCATATTTTTTTTCTTAATTACTGAATACACTCAAAATAAGGTAGTAATGAATCATTACCATGCGGAATCACTATGTGTCTCTACCACATCAGTTACGATTTGTCGTAGAAATGGTAATTATAAGCTCAGGGAAATTCAAATTTAATACATAATGGTATTCACTTCCTTATTATTTGGTAATGAATTTGAATTTCCCTGAAATCATCATTACCATTTCTACGACAAATCGTAACTGACATGGTAGAGACACATAGTGATTCCGCATGGTAATGATTAGGAATGGGTTCGGATCGGATCGGATTTTGGGGTCTTCGGATCAATCCGACTCGGATTATGCCGGGTATCGGATTGATCCAATGCGGATTGACCGACCAATCCGATCCGATTCGGATCAATCCGACGGATTTCGGATCGGATCGGATTACTAAACCGGTTATATCGATATAAAATCCAATACTTGCAATAATTACAAATACATGTATGTAATACATATTATGTATACCTACTCAAGAGAGGATAATAATACTCACCAACATGCATTACATATACACAAGGTTCAATAATTAATTATTAGTATATGGTTACTAAAAACCGACAAAGCAATCTAAATTTCACCCTACATATTGAATAGGCAATAGTTAATAAAATTAAATTGCATGATGGGTAAACTTTTCTATCTCACACAATGGCCACGATGACAGCTTGAAAATTTGCAGGGTGGTAGCCCAGAAATATTGGGGTTGGATGCCGTTCCCGAATTTTAAAACAACGGTCACAATTTTTGACCCAAAAGGTCAAGTTTCATGACGATATGTTTCTTTAGAGGCTTTATTTTTATCGATAGCGCAGCGAAATGTGAACATTTTATATTTTTGATATATTTTTTATATATTTGATTTATATTTTTGATATATTGTACACTTCCGTTCGATTTTTAGAACAAAGTAGCGAATTTGTTAATAAGGCGAGTTTTGACAAATTGTTAAAATTCGCCTTATTGAAAAATTCACTAACTCAAAAAATCGTCCGGAAATGTGCAAGATATCAAGATATCAATATGTTCACCTCCCGTTGAGCTATATATTTGTCAA